TTGAGTTTTTCAAACCATGAGTTTCCAGTCCTTGTGTTTACTATGTTGAGTTCTCCAATCCACGAATACATATTTTTTCCATTTATTTAGATCTTTGATTATACTTATCAGCATTCACAATGTAAGTCCTGTGCAGGTTTTATTAGATGTACAACCGAGTATTTTAATTTTTAATTACTATAAATGTTATTGTAGTTTTAATTTCAGTGTCTATGTATTCATTGCTAGAATGTTTCTTTAATAATATTTTTTTAGTTGTAGATGGACACAATATCTTTATTTTATTTATTTATTTATATGTGGTGCTGAGGATTGAACCCAGGGCCTCATGCATGCAAGGCAAGCGCTCTACCACTGAGTCACAACCCCCCAGCCCTGCTAGAATGTTTTTCACGTTTAACCTACATCTTGTGATCTTGCCAAATTCACTTATTAGTATAGGAGTTTTATTTGTTTTGTTTTATGGACTTCTTAAGATTTTCCAAATAGACAATCATGTCATGTTCCCTTCTGAGGTGACTTACTTTTATTTTCTTTTCCTGCCTTATTGCACTTAATGAAGTTCTAGCACTATATTAAATGTGCTGACAGTGGACATTCTTGCTTCCTTCTTAGTCTTAGGGAGAAAATTTCAGTAGGATTTAAGTCTGAAGTCTGCCATTTTGCTTTTTTTTTTCTGTTCCACTATTTATTTATTTATTGTTCTCCTCTTTCTTCTACTTGCCTTTTTTCTTTTGCCTAGCCTCTCTTGTCTTTCTGCCTTCCTTGATTATTTTTTAGAAATTCATTTTTATTTACCTAATATTATTTTAAGTACTTTTAAAAAAATTTATACCTTTATTTTATTTATTTATATGTGATGCTAAGAATTGAACATAGGGTCCTGCATGTGCTAGGCAAGTGCTCTACCACTGAGCCACAACCCCAGCCCCTTAAGTACATTTTTATGACTTTTTATTGATTAGTAATTTATTTGGTATAACATTATATGTGCATATCTTGTCACAGTCTAAGAGTGTTGTCATTTGAAAGTCCTGATTTTCTGCAAGACCTTCTCAGGAACCGCCCCACAAGGAAGGAAAGGAGAACCTCATTACTACCAGGTGGCAGTGGATTTCCAAGCTCCCATCTTCCCCAAGGGGTCTCCACTGACACCATGGTTGCATGGGTGGGAAGGAGAGCTGGCCATGAGCTCATGGAAATGAAGTTTCAGTTCCCCATGTGGCTTCATTTGGAACCACTTCAGCAGGGATGTTGGCGACTTATTACAGCCTCATGAGGGTGGAAGTCGAAGCTCTCCAGTTGGCCTTTGTCGGCACAGTGGGAGTGACACTATAGGTTTTCTCTAGTTATTGACTGGAGTAGTTTTGTCGGAAAGTTTTCTATGTGGCTGGGCTTCCCTCTTTTTTCTTTGGCCAGAAAGTTCAAGCTTTTGTTAGGACTCAGGTTTTCTGTGCCCATCAGTGTTTCTGGTTTGCTGACTTCTTCAGTTCCAAAGCTGAGATAGGTGACATAAAAAGAAAACCCAAACAACAACAAGTTCTGGCAAGGTTGTGGGGAAAAGGGTACACTTGTACATTGCTGGTGGGGCTGCAAACTGGTGCAGCCAATTTGGAAAGCAGTATGGAGATTCCTTGGAAAGCTGGGAATAGAACCACCATTTGACCCAGCTATTCCCCTTCTTGGACTATTCCCTAAAGACCTTAAAA